CAAGCATAAGCTAATAATAATCTGACGAGCTTCAAGTCTAGCTACAGGTGCAAAGGTTTCATCAAAATCAATACCCTCCTGTTGATTATACCCTTTGGCTACCAACCTAGCTTTATTTCTAGTGATAATGCTCAGTGTTCATCTAGTTTGTTTTTGAATACCCACTTAGTACCAATTACATTGATATCTTTGGTTTTAGGAACTAATTCCCACACGTTATTCCTTTCAAGCTGATTAAGCTCATCATGCATGGCACTAACCCGAGTATTCATCATTTAATGCTTCTTTAACAGTTTTAGGTTCTATTTGTGAAATGAATGTCATATGATTGCGAGAATTGATTAAGAGAATGTCTAGTGGATACTCCCTTATTGATTTGCCAGATGACATTGTCTAGAGATAGATCTCTTGGAACAATCCATTCTTTAGGAAGCTCTTCCAGGACATCTTCTACCTGTTCTTCGATAATTCTTGGTGGATCAGCTTTGGCGGGATCAAGCTGATTGAATACCTTCTTTGATAGTAGAGTCGATCTGAGTTCTTGGGATATTTTAAGCGATAAGAATTATCGGTTAAATCTTCATCATCTGCGATGTACTGTTGTTCTATTACGCAACACTCGAGGAGACTCATTAAAAACAACATGTCTTGATTCTTCAACAGATTTCGAGTCTCAAATTGTAGACTCTATATGCATGACCAGTTAGTAGAATAACCAAGAAAGATTCCTTTATCGGATTTTTCATCAAACTTGCCAATATTTTTTTCCCATTGTTTAAAACAAAACACGTACATCCAAAAACCACGAAATAGTTTATGTTGGGTTTTCTTCCTTTATACAGTTCATATGGGGTTTTCTTAAGCATGGGTCTAATCAAGACTCTATTCAAAACATCACAAGCAGTGTTTACTGCATCTGCCCAAAAATATTTAGGTAAAAAATTTTTACAAAGCATTGTTCTAGCAAGTTCCACAATGGATCTGTTCTTTCTTTCCACAACTCCGTTTTGTTGAGGAGTTCTTGGAGCAGAAAAATTGTGTTTTATGCCAAACTTTTCACAAAATGATTCAAACTTTTCATTTACAAATTCTCCACCATTGTCACTTTGAATAAATGTAATGAAATACCCTTTTTCATTATGTAAAACCTTGGCAAGCTTTTTGAAAGATTTGTAAGAATCAGATTTGGCTTTTAGAAAGATAGTCCAGGTAAATCTGGAAAAATCATCAACAATTACCAAGATATAGAGATTACCACCTAGGCTTTTATTTCTTGAAGGACCAACCAAATCCATGTGAAGCAGTTCCAAAGGTCTAGAAGTAGACACAATATTTTTGTTTGAAAAAGATTTTCTAGTTTGTTTACCTTTTAAACAGGCTTCACAGATTTTGTCTTTCAAAATTCTAAGCTTCGGTAACCCAGAAACTAACTCTTTAGAAATCAATTTGTCAAGATGATTAAGATGTATATGAGCAAGCCTTCTATGCCAAAACCAAGATTCTTCTTCTTTAGTAAGAAGACAACTTTGAGATGATATAGAGTGCTTGATATCTAACATGTAAATATTGTTTAACCTCTTACCTACCAACATTACCAGTGTCGGATTCCGGCTCACAGATTAGGCACTTTTCTGGTTTGAAGATAACTTTGTGACCAAGATCACATAACCGACTTATCCTGATTAGGTTGTGCTTGAGACCTTCAACAAGAAGAACATTGTGAATGGTTCCTGATTCACCATCTCCGATATCTCCGGAACCTAGAATTCTTCCCTTGTTGTTGTCTCCATAAGTCACGTGACCTCCATTCTTCAATCTCGGTTTACGGAATTTTGAAATGTCACCTGTCATGTGCCTTGAGCATCCGTCGTCCGGTACCAAAGGGACTCTTGTTGCTTGTTCTCGAAAAACAAAGCATCAAGTATTTGGTACCCTTAAGTATTTTGGGTCCTTAGGAGTCAAATTTTACGTTTAACATGTTTTGGAACCCATCTCTTTACGCCTTGTGGCACAAAATATTTCCTAGCATGACAAAATTTTACGAGTATGTCCTTTCTTCATGCAGTAATGACAAGATGAGAAAGGGGATGTTGTTGATTTTCTAAAGGAAAAGAAGTTCAAATACTTTTTAGTTTTCACCCCGACTTTAGGTTTGTACCCGATTCCAGTATGTTCAAAAACACAGTTTTGAGACCCAAGAAGTGCATCTAGATTTTCTTTACCTTGAGTAAATTTTGACAAGGTTTTAGTCAAGTAATCCACTTTATTCTGTAGAAGAATACACTTTTCACAATTCTTATTAGCAGCAGCATTATCAGCAGATGAATAGATAATTTCAAGATGTTCTAAATCTATTTTGCTTTCTAATAACTCTTTTTCCATAACTTTAACCCTATTTTCTAACCAGTTGTTTAGTCTTTTTAACCGATTATTTGTATGAGATAAATTTCTGGCTTCACTATGCATTTCATTGAAAGAGTTTAGTAATGTGTTGTAATTCATTTCATTTTCTGTGGGAGTGTTGAACTTACATGTGATGAAGAGGATTCACAGCCAGCCATCAAACATAGGTTCACCTCTTCACCTTCAGATGCAGAACTGGAGGATGAATCATTATCTTGCCAAGCTATGTACGCCTTTTTTTCTTTGTATTTTGACTCTTTCTTATGTGTCCCTGCTTACCACAAGAATAACAAGTAACATTATTTTGAATGGAGTCAGTCTTTTTATCAGTATACCTTTTAACTTGCCCAGTTCTGTTCTTCCTTCTAAGAAATTTTCCAAACTTCTTAACCAACAGAGTTAGATTATCGGATTCATCTTCTTCAGACTCACTGTTTTCTTCAATCGTCTTGAGAACAATGTTTCTGCTTTTCTTCTCTGCATTCTCTTGTTCTTTGAACCGATTGATTTCCAACTCATGTTCCCTTAACTTACCAAATAGTGAAGCAGTAGTCATTTCAATCAAATCTCTTGATTCTGATATAGTTGTCACCTTTGGTTGCCAAGTTTTGTCCAAACACTTCAAGATTTTGATGTTCAACTCTTCCTTATCAAAAGTCTTTCCTAGCCCAATTAAATGATTGACTATGTGCGTGAATCTTTTATGTACATCTGCAATTGTTTCTCCTTGCTGCATTTTAAACAATTCATAGTCCCTGATTAACTCATGCTTTCTTGCCCTTTTCACGTCAGATGTACCCTTATGTGTGACCTCTAAAATTTCCCACATCTCTTTGGCAGAGGCACATTGAGACACCCCGAAAAACTCATCAAGATTTAAAGCGAGAGGTAATAATATTTTTAGCGAGTATAATCATATTGGACTCTCCTATTTTTTGCATCGATCAATTCAGCCCAATTTTTCTCAACTACTTTACCATCCACTTGTATGAGTTGGTTTGTAAGGACCATTAACAATTGTTTCCCAAATATCTCTATCAAGAGATTCAATAAAGATTTTCATTATAACCTTCCGGAAAGAATAATTCACACCGAGAAAAAGAGGAGGCCTATTTATGGAGGCTCCTTCGAAAAATTCATCTTTCCCTCGAGCCATTCTTGGACCGAATTCTTGAGTAACTTACAAGAACCGACTTTGGTACCAATTGAAAGAATTAATGGTTAAGTTCAAGAGGGGGTGAATTGAACTTTAGAAAACTTTTTCGCAAAACTTACTTTCTCTTGGAAGAATGAATTATCTTTATTTAATTCTTGTGTAGGTAGGTTTGATTTTAATCACGACAAGTATATAGACAAGAAATAAAGGAGATGAAAGAAGAAATTCAACACAACAATTTATCTTGGTTCACTCTTCACCGAAGCTACGTCCGAGTTCTTGACAAATCTGTCAAGTTCCACTAATACCAAGTGAAAATTACAACCGATAGATACTCACCAATCTACCCCAAGAACTATCTTACAAACCCACAAGATAGACTCTTGAAAACCTCCCAGTAACCAAATCCAGTTACTGTAACACGTGCAGATCAAAATCCAACCTACACAACCACACTTTACACAATAGTATGAAAAGAAAAAACCTGGACTGAAGCTTTATCAATACAATTGTCCAGAAGCAATTCTAACTCAGCACTTTCTCTCTTTGATTAACAACAATCTTGATCAAAGCACCTTATGATATGAAAAGATTCTAAATGCTCAAAGAAAGTCACGGATATGCTTGCTCAAAGATTGCTTTCAAAATGTTTTCTCAAATTGTATATTTCAAAAGATAGATCAAATCCGTATTTATAGAGTAAAAGAGAGAACCAGACTGTTTGAATTGATAAAAACTGGTTCAGAGAGGTAAATGATCGATCAGAATAGCATTATGATCGATTAGAACAAGTTATGATCGATCATAATCAAATTATGATCGATCAGAATGCATTTCAATCGATTAAAACGTCGATTCAATCGATTGATTTCATTTAGAATTTCATTCAATCGATTGATTCGTGTTTTCAATGGATTGAAATAGCTTAATGAAAAATGATAGCTCTCTGTTTCAATCGATTAAAAAACCTTTCAACATATTAAAATTTTGTAGACTCTTAGTAAAAAAAAATAGTCTCTCTGTTTTAACAGATTGAAAAATATTTCAACAGATTGAAGTTTTGAAAAACACTTAGACTGAAAAATGGTCTCTCTGTTTCAACAGATTAAAAAATATTTCAACAGATTGAAAATGTGAAACCTGTAATACATAAAAAATCATTAAGACATTTTAACCTGTTGATTCTGCGATTCAACCAATTGAAATTTTGAATCTATAAGAATATTTCTTATGTTAAGTGATTTTAACAGATTGAAATTTCTTTTCAACAGATTGAAAAACTTAGTTTGTTCTTTTAATGCTTAAATGTTAGTTTTTCATGCAGAAAAATGATTTCAATGAGATGCGTCATTTTAAGGTGCTTATCACAAGATTTATTGGCCTATCAAGAGATTAAGTTTCTAAACTTCTAACTTATCCCTCTACACACCCACAAACTAAACTATATCAACTTAAATATGTCTTCATCAAATCCACCAAGTGCTTCACTAGATTCCCTACAGCGCAATTGATTGACATATTTCTCATGCAATACCCTGTTCTTTACTTTCTTTAGTACAGAAGGACTAACAAGATCTGTAATGTGCGAGCCACTAAATCTTGAAAGTGGCTTCCTACCACTTGAAGATGATGTTTCGGTACAACTTTGCAGGCACCCTTTGTTTTCCTTTAGCTGTTTTGGAGTAGAAAGAGCTTCACTAGGCTGTGAAGCATTAGTGGAGATATCTATGTTCGGTTCAAGAACAGAAAATATGTCCCCTTCACGGTCTAGATCACCTTCAAGATGCCGTTGTAACAACTTTTCAACTGACTTCTGGGTAATAATGTTCTTTGGTTTTAGAACATTTAATCTTCGAACTGTTATATTAATAGGGTTGAGAAGTTTACTTTCGGATAAAGAAAAATTACCTTCGTAGAGGTCTGCTCTTCTCCTAGATTCCCTACAACGCAATTGATTGACATATTTCTCATGCAATACCCTGTTCTTTACTTTCTTTAGTACGGGAGGACTAACAAGATCCGTAATGTGCGAGCCACTTAAATCTTGAAAGTGGCTTCTTACCACTTGAAGATGATGTTTCGGTACAACATTGCGAGGCACCCTTTGTTTTCCTTTAGTCTGTTTTGGAGTAGAAAGAGCTTCACTAGGTCTGTGAAGCATTAGTGGAGAAATCTATATTCGGTTCAAGAACAGAAAATATGTCCCCTTCACGGTCTAGATCACCTTCAAGATGCTTAGTTGTAACAACTTTTCAATCGACTTACGGGTAATAATGTTCTTTGGTTTTAGAACATTTAATCTTCGAACTGTTATGTCAATAGGGTTGAGAAGTTTACTTTAAGATAAAGAAAAATTATCTTCGTAGAGGTCTGCTCTTCTCCTAGATTCCCTACAACGCAATTGATTGACATATTTCTCATGCAATACCACTGTTCTTTACTTTCTTTAGTACGGGAGGACTAACAAGATCTGTAATGTGCGAGCCACTTAAATCTTAAAAGTGGCTTCTTACCACTTGAAGATGATGTTTCGGTACAACTTTGCAGGCACCCTTTGTTTTCCTTTAGTCTGTTTTGGAGTAGAAAGAGCTTCACTAGGTCTGTGAAGCATTAGTGGAGAAATCTATATTCGGTTCAAGAACAGAAAAATATGTCCCCTTCACGGTCTAGATCACCTTCAAGATGCCAGTTGTAACAACTTTTCAACTGACTTCGGGTAATAATGTTCTTTGGTTTTAGAACATTTAATCTTCGAACTGTTATGTCAATAGGGTTGAGAAGTTTACTTTAAGATAAAGAAAAATTATCTTCGTAGAGGTCGCTCTTCTCCTAGATTCCCTACAGTACGCAATTGATTGACATATTTCTCATGCAATACCACTGTTCTTTACTTTCTTTAGTACGGGAGGACTAACAAGATCTCGTAATGTGCGAGCCACTAAATCTTGAAAGTGGCTTCTTACCACTTGAAGATGATGTTTCGGTACAACTTTGCAGGCACCCTTTGTTTTCCTTTAGCTGTTTTGGAGTAGAAAGAGCTTCACTAGGCTGTGAAGCATTAGTGGAGAAATCTATGTTCGGTTCAAGAACAGAAAATATGTCCCCTTCACGGTCTAGATCACCTTCAAGATGTCGTTGTAACAACTTTTCAACTGACTTCTGGGTAATAATGTTCTTTGGTTTTAGAACATTTAATCTTCGAACTGTTATGTCAATAGGGTTGAGAAGTTTACTTTAAGATAAAGAAAAATTATCTTCGTAGAGGCTGCTCTTCTCCTAGATTCCCTACAACGCAATTGATTGACATATTTCTCATGCAATACCCTGTTCTTTACTTTCTTTAGTACAGGAGGACTAACAAGATCTGTAATGTGCGAGCCACTAAATCTTGAAAGTGGCTTCTTACCACTTGAAGATGATGTTTCGGTACAACTTTGCAGGCACCCTTTGTTTTCCTTTAGTTGTTTTGGAGTAGAAAGAGCTTCACTAGGTTGTGAAGCATTAGTGGAGAAATCTATGTTCGGTTCAAGAACAGAAAATATGTCCCCTTCACGGTCTAGATCACCTTCAAGATGCCGTTGTAACAACTTTTCAACTGACTTCTGGGTAATAATGTTCTTTGGTTTTAGAACATTTAATCTTCGAACTGTTATGTCAATAGGGTTGAGAAGTTTACTTTAAGATAAAGAAAAATTATCTTCGTAGAGGCTGCTCTTCTCCTAGATTCCCTACAGCGCAATTGATTGACATATTTCTCATGCAATACCCTGTTCTTTACTTTCTTTAGTACAGGAGGACTAACAAGATCTGTAATGTGCGAGCCACTAAATCTTGAAAGTGGCTTCTTACCACTTGAAGATGATGTTTCGGTACAACTTTGCAGGCACCCTTTGTTTTCCTTTAGCTGTTTTGGAGTAGAAAGAGCTTCACTAGGCTGTGAAGCATTAGTGGAGAAATCTATGTTCGGTTCAAGAACAGAAAATATGTCCCCTTCATGGTCTAGATCACCTTCAAGATGCCGTTGTAACAACTTTTCAACTGACTTCTGGGTAATAATGTTCTTTGGTTTTAGAACATTTAATCTTCGAACTGCTATGTCAATAGGGTTGAGAAGTTTACTTTCAGATAAAGAAAAATTATCTTCGTAGAGGTTGCTCTTCTCCTAGATTCCCTACAGCGCAATTGATTGACATATTTCTCATGCAATACCCTGTTCTTTACTTTCTTTAGTACAGGAGGACTAACAAGATCTGGAATGTGCGAGCCACTAAATCTTGAAAGTGGCTTCTTACCACTTGAAGATGATGTTTCGGTACAACTTTGCAGGCACCCTTTGTTTTCCTTTAGCTGTTTTGGAGTAGAAAGAGCTTCACTAGGCTGTGAAGCATTAGTGGAGAAATCTATGTTCGGTTCAAGAACAGAAAATATGTCCCCTTCATGGTCTAGATCACCTTCAAGATGCCGTTGTAACAACTTTTCAACTGACTTCTGGGTAATAATGTTCTTTGGTTTTAGAACATTTAATCTTCGAACTGCTATGTCAATAGGGTTGAGAAGTTTACTTTCAGATAAAGAAAAATTATCTTCGTAGAGGTTGCTCTTCTCCTAGATTCCCTACAGCGCAATTGATTGACATATTTCTCATGCAATACCCTGTTCTTTACTTTCTTTAGTACAGGAGGACTAACAAGATCTGGAATGTGCGAGCCACTAAATCTTGAAAGTGGCTTCTTACCACTTGAAGATGATGTTTCGGTACAACTTTGCAGGCACCCTTTGTTTTCCTTTAGCTGTTTTGGAGTAGAAAGAGCTTCACTAGGCTGTGAAGCATTAGTGGAGAAATCTATGTTCGGTTCAAGAACAGAAAATATGTCCCCTTCATGGTCTAGATCACCTTCAAGATGCCGTTGTAACAACTTTTCAACTGACTTCTGGGTAATAATGTTCTTTGGTTTTAGAACATTTAATCTTCGAACTGCTATGTCAATAGGGTTGAGAAGTTTACTTTCAGATAAAGAAAAATTATCTTCGTAGAGGTTGCTCTTCTCCTAGATTCCTTACAACGCAATTGATTGACATATTTCTCATGCAATACCCTATTCTTTACTTTCTTTAGTACGGGAGGAATAACAAGATCTATAATGTGCGAGCCACTTAAATCTTGAAAGTGGCTTCTTACCACTTGAAGATGATGTTTCGGTACAACTTTGCAGGCACCCTTTGTTTTCCTTTAGTTGTTTTGGAGTAGAAAGAGCTTCACTAGGTCGTGAAGCATTAGTGGAGAAATCTATGTTCGGTTCAAGAACAGAAAATATGTCCCCTTCACGGTCTAGATCACCTTCAAGATGTCGTTGTAACAAATTTTCAACTGACTTCTGGGTAATAATGTTCTTTGGTTTTAGAACATTTAATCTTCGAACTGTTGTGTCAATAGGGTTGAGAAGTTTACTTTCAGATAAAGAAAAATCGTGAATAGGTGATGACTGCAATGTCTTTGCCCTTGATCGAGGTTGTGGTTGAAGTGGAGTCACATGGTCAATGTGAATTCTATCAAAGCATTCGTGTTGAGACTTTCCAGGCACCAACAACAGATTTTGAATGACCACGATTCAACCAATGCAAGAATAAAACATATCTAAAAGCTAGTTGCATCCGCACGTATCTGACATGCAATTGACTACCAACAGACTATAGAACTATACACACAGAAATAAAATTATCTAAAATTTCAATAACAATTCCTCCATGTCTTGATATATAAATGAAATGAGATGGAATGGAATAAAGTTACCATGCGATGTTCTTTACATTTTTTGGATGAAATGGAAACCATCTCATATCATATCCCCATTTTGAAGGGGAAGCAATAGGTTACAATTTCATTATCTCCTATTTGACAGGATACAAAAGGATGAAACCTATGTTAGAAATCTCATATAAACTAGAAATTTAACCAAATTATAGTATATAAATGAGGTAGAAGTCTCGTCTTATAAGTTAATTTTATAGGAATGATTTAAATTCACATCTACTCTCTAATATTGTATCCTCTCAATATAAGAGGTTGGAGATCTTATGTTATGACCAAATTATAACATACAAGTTAAAGTACAAACCTCACCTTATCTACTATGTATGATCTACTAGCATTGAGTTAGGCCCATATCAACTTTCTAATAGCTTATCCATTCCATTCTACATCTCTTCATTCAAACACAAACAACTGCCTCTACTAGATAAACACTGATCCACTGCAATTCTTTGCTAACAAATAACATGCAAGTCTCAGCGGACACTTGAAGCACCAAATCTGTTTTCTAACATTTAAGCGACCAACAAAACCAGGTAGAAAAAAGACAATCATCAACCAAGGTTTCGAGTATAGCAAACTGCTTCATTTTCACGAATCTATTATCCCCATTCATATTAAACTCTTCAAACTATAAACCAACCTCGATAACCGTCGGCTTTCAAGAGTTACACAAGCCAATTCCAAACATGCAAATTCGGTTAAATTTCAACGAGCATGAACCACAAACTTTGTTCCATGTTGAAGTCAAACCAAAAGTCAATATTTACAATTGCATACGAGAGAGAAGGATGCATACCGGTTTGGAAACGTTCTTCCGGAAATGGGGGCCTAGGCTTTGCCATGAGATACGCTCTCTAAAGAGCTAAATCTTGTTCCTTCGTCCACCCTTCCCTAACTTCATCGCCTTTGCGCTTTTTCTTGTCTCCATCTTCAATCTTCTTTCTTTCTCCATCAAAACCCTTATCATAAACAACACAATTTTCTTTTGTTTTAACTTCAACGATCTCTCCATTTCCAACCTTACGTCTTCCTCCACCAGCACCCCCATTCGAAACGATACCATTTCTGGTAATTTCAACTTCAACCTTCTTCCCATCACCCCCTTCTTTGCACCCCCACCAATCCCTTCATCCGAAACGACATGATTTTTTTGCTTTTTAACTTCGACCCTCTTCTCCTTTCTCTCTTTCTTTCTTCCTCCACCGAACCCCTCATCCGAAACGACACAATTTTCCTTCATTTCAAGCGTCACCACCCTTCACACTCGTGTTCTTCACTTTCTTCCTGCTTGACTCGTTGTTGAACCTGGGAGATTGTCTAAGAGATGAAAATCCAACGTCCCCATTGTTCAGCCGCGAAGACCTTCTCGGCCCCACCGTAAACTCATTGGATTCCTTTTTGGAAACGGTGTGTTTGGCAGATTTGGGGTTGGGAGTGGTGTTGTTTTGTTAGGGGAGGAACCCGGGTGACCTTCGCGGGGTGACAAATTGCACTGTGTACGAAGGAGTTCCTCTCTAGCATTTTCACGAACACTTGAAGGGGTCGCTTCTACAGTGACCAACAATCGGAATTCAAACTCGAATTGAATTGAATGGTTCATGAACGCATAACCAACATCTATCCTCACGGGCTACTTACCCAACATGTTTAAGTACGTTGGCCCAAATCAATACCCAAACCCAAATTTTCACATAATTTTTCATAAAGGCATTTTTTTAGTCCATATCCTTAACCCTCCTCCATATAATTATAAAATAAAAAATCTAATTTTTCTTTTTATGTTTAAATATTTTTTAACTTGTGCAAATATGAGACTTTTTTTCATAAATAATACTCTTTTTAAAAATATTTTCCAAAATAGCACATCTGGAACATTATTTACACAACTAGCACTGTTTACTGTTCACGAAGAAACCCCTCGCTTGACGAGGAAATATGTAACAAAGGGGTAGTCTCGGGTAAATTCTCGCTCAAGCGAAGAAAGCCCTCGCTTGAGCGAGGAAATCTGTAACAAAGGGTTATCTCCGGTCAACTCTCGCTCAAGCGACGGATATTTTTGCTTCAGCGAGAAGTGATTAAAATATGTGGTGACCCAAGTTGCGTTATGTGGCTATGGACGTTTAGCCACATAATGCAACTTGGGTCACCACATATTTCAATCACTTCTCGTTCAAGCGATAATATCCATCGCTTGAGCGACAGTTGACCAGATACTTTAGATAGCGGTTCTAGAAATAACCGCTATTAAAAGTATATTTGTGTTCACTTTTAAGAGCGGTTAAAATGTTAACTGCTCTTAAAAGTGACACATATATAATAAAAAAATATTAAATGCACAGTGTTTTTATTATTAAATAATTCATTCCCTTGCCCATCTCTCCTCCTTCTCCGATTCTCATTTTCCTAGCACAGAACTTTCTCATTCCTTCGTCGACCTCGACCTCGACCTTCCTCACGTGGGTGTGAACTTGCCCATCTCTAATGAAGTCAAATCCGTTATTAACAAAGTATTGGGTGTCAAGCACCTTTGGGGCTATCACCTCCTTCGTGGTCACAATTTGGGTACTTGAAGAAGTCGCTTCTGAGTGGATGCGCTTGGAGCTTTTTCTTTTGCCAGCCATGGTTTATGTTTACGACTATTGAGAATAGTCAACAGTGAACGAAAACAGAGAACAGAGAATCTGCGAGTAATTAGAAAGGAAAGAATACATTAACCTCCATGGTTGTTTTATGCTTCTTCTTTACAATGCAAACGAAATCAAACAAGATGAACCATCAAATTAAAATTCAAAACCGAAATCAACAACCATATTAAACCCTAAACCAAATGAACAAAACCCAATATTAAACATAGACGAACCAGAGCCGGGAGAGAACGAACGTTTCTTTTGCGTGCGCCAGCGAGAGAGATGCAGAGCGAAATTATGTAAAACTATAATCGCTTAGCACAAACTATGATCGATGTTCTCCAACTATAATCGATCATTCTCAATTATAATGGATTATCGAAAATTATGATCGATTATATTCCAGTTATAGTCGATCACTTTGACATATATGACTTTAGATAGCGGTTATTTGGCCAACCGCTATCAATTATAATGGATTATCGAAAATTATGATCGATTATTTTCCAGTTATAGTCGATCACTTTGACATATATGACTTTAGATAGCGGTTATTTGGCCAACCGCTATCTAAACAACATTTATTATAGCGTTCCACGAGTGAACCGCTCTTTAAAAGTATGATATAAGAGAGCGGTTATAAAAAAATCGATATTATAACTATACGTTAAACAACGGTTAAAGCCACACCGCTATCTCATATATATATTTAAAAGCGGTTCTCATTAACCGCTATCTCAGGTCACTCAAGCGAAAAACACATCGCTTGAATGAGGACACCTGGAAAATGGGGGATTCTCGGGTTCTTTCTCGCTCAAGCGACGTTATGAACGCTTGAGCGACAAGTGATTCTAATATGTGGTGAACCAAGTTATATTATTTGGCTAACTACGTTTGACGTTTCATCATTCGGTCAAGACTCGCTCGAGCGACAAAGTCATCGCTTGAGCGACGAAGCCTTCAAACAAGGGGGACTCTCGGGTTCTGTCTCGCTCAAGCGACAGTTACTTTAGCTTAAGCGAGAAGTGATTAAATATGTGGTGACCCAAGTTGCATTATCTGGCTAACTGCGTTGGACGTTTAGCTTGGTCAATTCGAGCTCAAGCGAGAAAACCATCGCTTGAGCGAGGAAACCTGTAACTATTTACAATGCTGAGTCACCCACCCAAGTCAGGATTCCCATGTCTTTCTGATGCACACAAGTAAAGAATCCAATGCTGAGTTACCCACCTAAGTTAGGATTCCAATCTTGGATTCCCTGCATTGGGTTAGACAAAAGTAGAAGAATCCAAACATATTTAAAGAGATGTTGACCCACCCACTTTGCTTGGGTTTTGTGTGCGTCAGAAACCATGTGAGGGAGCATTGGATTCAAACCAATGGACTTCATTATAAATAGACCACTTTCATTCTTTGAAGTTCTCACATTGCACACTCCTAAATCTCTGAAGCTATTTGCATTATTTCTTCTTCTTACCTTTAGTCTTCTTTGTGTTCCACACTCTTAAAATGGGTGTAGTGTCTACTATTGTCCACTATGATGGTTTCATGAACCCATGTCCCATGGAGGGAGTTACCTTCAATATTGGGACTGCAAAACTTGTTCCTTTAAAGAGAGGAATTTCTCTACAAAGGTTGAAGAAGTTGATCCACAAGAAATTGGAGAAAGAACCCCACGAAAATGTAGCAACCATCCATTTTCGCTGTCCAACTAGACTCGGAGTTGGGATCAACAACTTCATTGCTGTTGAGTTGAAAGATGATGACGACGTGGAGGCCATGTTCGATGTTCATGATTCAAACTCAAGTCTATGTGGTATTGAAATTTTTGTTTCATTTAAAACTTCTTCTTCTTCATACCCCAACCCACACTCACCAGAAATTTCACCCTTACCCTACCAAGCTTTCCCAAACACTCACCCAGAAATACCCACACATAATGACTACATCCCTTTTACCCAACTTCTAAGTGGTCCTTCCACCAACATCAACGAAGAACTACCCACATAAGAGAACGAAATTGTTGGCCTCCCAATTGAAGTCGTTGATCCTTTTAGTGAGGATGAAGACAAAGATGAAATTCTCAGCCAACACCAAGATGATTCAGAGGACGAACAACCACATATCCCTACACATGCACCAAACTTCATGGAACCATACAACCCACCACAACATTTTCTTAACTTTGAAAATCACATTCAACAACAAGACCCAGAGTATGGTCATGCGTTGGACAGAGAGTCTTTTGTTTCTCTGGCAGGAACTCTATTTCTTGGACAACGTTTCATAACAAAAGAACAAGTTCAAGATGCCATCAACCGCTTTCACATTGTCAATCACTGCACATACAAGGTGAAAATTTCAAACCAAAGTAGATATGTTGTTGAATGTGGTGATAACCAATGCAATTGGAGATGTCGAGCAATATTGCGCACAAGAGAGCAATATTGGGAGATTATGAAGCTTGAAGGGCACCATACATGCATTTCACCATTAATCAGCCAAGACCACAACAAGTTGGGATATAAAATGATTTCCCAAACAATTGGTCAAATAATTGATGCTGATTCGTCAACACCAATCTCCACAATCATAACTCACATCCAATTAACAACGGGTTACACTATAACATACAGGAAGGTCTGGTTGGCAAAACAAAAGGCAGTGGAGATCATCTACGGCAATTGGGAGGATTCGTATAAGAAGTTGTCTTGTTTGTTACAAGCGATGCAACAATTTGTTCCCGGATTCATCTACAAACTGCAGTCACAACCAGCTTACCAATTCAAAGATATGTCACACCCCAGCAAGGATTATGCCTCATATCAGACCGACATGAATCCATTAGAAGTGCATACATGAGAAATGGAAGCGGATGGATAGAAAATAATTCAATGCATGTCTACTGCATTAGACACATTGCACAGAATTTTATGAGACATTTCAAAAACACCACACTGAGGAAAGATGTTGTAAATATGGGTAATTCCTTTGCTTCAAATTTGTTACAATTTATTCATTATTTAATTGTTGCTAATAAATATTTATATTAACTATGTTTTTTTAATATTGTTGTAGCAGTATGGGATGACTGAACCACGATTCTACTATTATTACAACATCTTGAGGCAATGTGACATAAAAGCGACTAATTGGTTGGATGAGATACCTAGAGAAAAATGGGCACTTGCATGGGACAATGGGCGACGTTGGGGCCACATGACGACCAACATAGCAGAGTCTATCAACTCGTTTTGAAAAAAACAAGAAATCTACCTATTTGCTCCATGGTCACCGCAACGTACACCCGTTGCAACAAATTTTTCATTGAAAGAGGGAGGCGAGATAGATGCCATGATCAATGCCTGGTCATGTATACTCGAAATTTTGGTCAAAAATTTAGAGGAAGCACAAACACGGACAAACACGCACGGGGTCATAACGTTTGACAGTGTCTACCACAAAATTTGTAGTAGAACAAACACAAAACCTCGCGTGAAGTTCGACCAGCGAGGAAGTTTGCGGTTCACCTTGATGAGTTATGGTGTGACTGTGGGAAATTCCAAAAATTTCACATGCCTTGTTCACATGTTCTTGTTGCATGCAAGCATGCACACCATGACTTCAACAACTATATTAATTCAGTGTATACGTTACAACAAGTTTCAAAGGTATACGAAACACAATTTGGGTTATTGCGAAATGAAGAATATTGGCCAACATACACAGGACCTACTTTGTGTGCAAATCCAGAAATGAAAAGAACTTCAAAGGGCCGACCAAAATCAAGTCGTATAAGAACTGAGATGGACATTACAGAAAATCAAAGTAGGATTAAAAAATGTTCATATTGTCATACCCCTGGTCATAGCAGAAGAACATGTCCCAATGTTGCATGTGCATCTACTTCGCATCATTAGATTGTGTTAGTTAAGAAATGTCTCAATGTATGAAACTTAGGAGTTTTTCAATTAATTGAAAGTGATGAAGATCTTATTGAATTATTTGATAAAACGAATATCTTGTGGGTTTGATGAAGTCAAAGGTTATTTAAGGAACTTTTTGCTAACTATTGATGCACATATCAGTCATACAACTCAATATAACAAGAATGAATGAACACTCTCGTAATGTCACTCCACAGAATTGATGCTTGACAGCCCCACAACCTCAAGCACTTTAACCCTGAGTAACCAACCAACCATCAGTCAAGAAATTTTAAATTCTCTTTACATGCTATCATCCCCATATTCAACTTCAATGAATCAATTACAGTCAGCTCCAGGTAAAACAATACAGAAACAAGATAATTTCATAAACAGAACAAACTCCCCTTTCAACAACATCATATAATGCAACTTGGGTCACCTGCACGTTTCCTCGCTCAAGCGATGGGTCTCTCGCTTGAGCGAGAATTGACCATAGCTAAATGTCCAACGCAGTTAGCCACATATTGCAACCTGGGTCACCACATATTTCAATCACTTCTCGCTCAAGCGAAAACACCCGTCGCTTGAGCGATAATTGACCCGAGATTTAAGATAGCGGTTCTAAGACTGACCGCTATTAAACATATATTTAAAATAGCGGTTAACGTGGAACCGCTATTATATGTCGATTATTTTAAAATTATGATCGATTAGTTCACATTATAATCGATTAAAAGTGAACATATAATAGGGGTTCCACGTTAACCGCTATCTAAAATATATTTTTAAGAGCGGTTATTTCTAGAACCGCTATCTAAAATCTCGGGTCAATTCTCGCTCAAGCGACGAAAGTTTTCGCTTGAGCGAGAAGTGATTGAAATATGTGGTGACCCAAGTTGCATTATGTGGCTAAACGTCAAAGCAGTTAGCCACATAATGCAACTTGGGTCACCACATATTTTAATCACTTATCGCTCAAGCGAAAATACCCGTCGCTTGAGCGAGAGTTGACCGGAGATTGTCCTTTGTTACAGATTTCCTCGCTCAAGCGGGGTTTCTTCGCCTGAGCGAGAGTTGACCCGGTATTACCCTTTGTTACAGATTTCTTCGCTCAAGCGAAGGATTTCTTCGCTTGAGCGAGAATTGACCACGAAATATTCGATCATAATATAAAATGATCGATTATTTTAATACGTGAACAGTAAACGGTGCTAGTTGTGTAAATAATGTTCCAGATGTGCTATTTTGGAAAATATTTTTAAAAAGAGTATTATTTACGAAAAAAAATCTAAAAAAACATTGTAAGGATTATGAAATATGACTGAAAAATAAAAAATATTTTTTTTTTCTTCCTTAAAAAAATTAACTAATTTCTTCCTCTTTTTCTTGGTCCTCTGTACTATACAAAAGCAGTTGATAAAGAGAGTATTAAAAAAAATCTAATAAAGTGTACATGAAAAATATTATAATTATATATTTTAAAATATTAGTAATAATCTATAAAACGTTAAATCGTATAAAAAATATTTATATACAAAAAGATAAAGTAAATATTTTATTTTAAAGACTCAACATCGCAAATAATAATTATTAGTTTCATATCTTATGAAAGAAACTTTTATGAATTTATAATAAAACTTATATACAAATGGAGAAGGAAGAAAGAATAGTTGTCACATAAACTTTTATAAATTTATAATAAAACTATATACATGAAGAAGAGGAAAAGAGAAAATTTTTTAGTCTCAAAATACAAATTGCTCAATCCCTTATATGAAATTTGTTAGTTTGAGGGAAAATATTAAATAGGATTGAATTTTTAAATCTAAAATTAAAAAAAAAAGTATAAGGGGAAAATGAATAAATTTATTTAAATATAAGTGTAATTTGTTCATAAAGAGAAAAAAAAATACAATGACATTTTCAATAAAAATGTTTCATATATACTAAATTCTTATTTATGCGTTTAGAAAATATAATAATTTTTGAACCAAAACACAGCAACATATTGATTCTTCAATATATTTTTAATAACTACACGACTTCTCAAGAATCATAAAATACTGTATATGTTTCAACACATTTAATTTTATCTAAATATTCATATTAACAAAATAATATTTTCTATTAAAAGGTACTATATATATGTTTAAATACATTTAATTTTATCTAAATATTCATACTAACAAAATAATATTTTCTATTAAAAGAAATTATTTGTTTTTTGCGTTTGTTTCTTTACAACAATTTATCTTTTTATTATTATTAAAAACATTTTTTCTGTAGAGAAATAAATTGAATGATAACTTAATAAACTAACTATGAATATATAAACAAAAACTGCAAATTAACATGTTCTTTGGAATGAAGTAAAATAAAATTCAATGAGAATATTGTTTATATGACTTGAAATAAAAAATATCGGAACAAAAATTTCATAAACCGTAGATTACCAAAAGCTAGTTTTAAGCAAAATTTCGTGCAACTGCAGAGCAATATTTCCTGGGGACTCAAATAATATTTCAAGAACTACACCTGAATTACTGGCTAAGGTGTAAGTTATTTGTTTATCATTGTTGTGTGTGTGCTTTTTTTTTTAAATTAAAAAAAAAAGATGTGAAATTGGAAAAAGCTACTATTTTTGTGTCTGTTTTTTAATATAACATGCAAATAATATTTTTAGTTATGTTTCTTCCCAAGATTGTTTCCATTCAGAACGGTGGAAGTCTAACTTTCTTGATTTCCCAAAAAAAAAAATCATTGTAGTAGTAGTAAAAGTATAATTTTATTTAATATCATAAATAATTAAAAAATATATTAAACATTTTCACATTTGTTAAATAGTAATTTGCAAGTAGAGATTCCAAAGAAAAAGTGATCCAAAACACCAAGAAATATAATGATGTTGATATAGATACAATAGGCCACCTTCTTGATTCCTATACCAAATGCAGTCATCGAATGAAGCTGAGAAAATGCAGTTATTGAATGAAGCTGAGGATGCAGATTTATAATTTGAAAATGAGTTTACTACACTGGGGATTGATATTGTAGTAGCATAAGTTACTTTTTCAATAAAAAGACACAAGATTAAGAAAACAATTCGATTGGTAAATTTTCTTACTCTAGACGCTGAAGTGGAAAAAGATTTAGCTTCTACACAACTCCTGTTTTGTTATAACGTATTAATTGTTCATGAAAATACCACAAGAGAGAAAGTGAAGGAGTCAAAGAGATGTGAACAACAATTGATCAGAAAAAAAAATTGCAGCCATAACCAATTCAGATAAACAATTAGCAATGGTCAATAAAACGATCCAATAAAGCAATCAAACTAAGGAAAAACCATATGATTATTTCCACTGTTCTGTCATCTCCATACATAAATGACAAAAGTTCTGAAACCACTTGCATAATTTTACATACATTCACATAAATAAATGTTTTCAACGTGGCAAAACCAAGCTTGGAACATAGTCATAAGACAAAATATGAAAGGGGTTGCTGAACTTTTCAGTACGTTCTATTCTATTCAACTTCAGATCATAGATAATAAATTTCGAATCTTCATAGTTTGCCAGCAACATGACATGATCAGACATGCACAGAAAGACTACGTCCACATATGAAGCGATACTGATTTGAAGACTTTCATAACTTATATTCAGCAACTGAGTCCAAGATGTTTCACCTCGAATCTCCTTAAGTAGCAAAATAATGAAGTTGCTTCTCTTTTGATCAAGAGAAACACAAAGGCAACCATTAAAAACCCCAAGATAAGGCTCAGCAAAAGGGAGTTCATCAAAAACATAATCAGGCACCCGCAAATATCTGTATGTGTCATTCGTTAGATCATACGAAAAAATTTCTACAAACTCACAGTTTGGGGGAGTTTCCGGTTGATCTTCTTCAGTGGGAAGTCCTATCCAGTTAACAGTGCCACTCACAGAGTATCCAACTTGATCAAAAGTGAAAAAAGAAGGACAGGTTAAGATATTTTTCCAACATGTGTCACCCATGCAGTAAACCTTCACGTTCATTTGCTGTCTTTGGGTATCTAAAGTCATTGCCAACACCTTGTAAGTGTCATTCTGATGATCGTAGCCAAATCCATATTTCATAGAAGAGGTTTTAGCTGGATAATCGCTGGAATGGAGACACAAGCGTGGCGAAGATTCGGACATAATTCTCGTGGCAGGGTTCCAAAAGCGGACCCAATGTTCTTCATACTCATATATCACAAAAGACTCATGCAAACAAAGCAAGCCATTGCAGGAACCGAAGAAAAAGTTTAGGGGGTTGAGGCGGTACCGGCGATTATCATCCAACGAGGATGAAGGGTTCTGGATTAAACGAGGTGCAGAGCAGAATGTGGCCCAGGTATTTGTGACATCGTTCAGGTCTTTGAACTTTAAGAGGACTTGGGTTTCTTTGGAGGACCTTTCACGGTGCAGTTTAACGAAGTAAGGTTCAAAGATGAGGGAATCCCAAGTCTTGGAAACGCATCGGAATCGCATGAGAGGCTCCACCGGAAGCCATGAGAGAATTTCTAGTATGAGATCTTCAGGGAGTATTGGAGCAGTTGCCATCGCCATCTTCGTTTCAAAACCCTCGCGATCGTCTTGGTTCTATGCTGTCTTTTCACCACCTCCTCCCACTTTCAACTCTTAAGATGGGTTGTTACTGTATATATAGATTTTTAGGTCAAATCACAAAGGGTTTGTTACCACCTATGGCGTTAATCTTTTATCTTTCCCTTCACTCTCATTTATCTTACAACTTCTTAAATTATTATTATTATTATTATTATTATTATTATTATTATTATTATTATTATTATTATTATTATTATTATCATAATAATAAAAATAGCTATCAATGATTTTTTTTTTTCAAAAAAACAGTTACTTAACTATCATTTCTCCTCTTTATTTATCTTTCTACAAAGATTAACAGATCTCAAAAAAAAAAAAATGTTGTTTGTTTTGCTTTTCATTTTTTAGAGTTTTTTCTTCTACTAAATTTTGTTAAGACATTCCTCTTTATGTCTTATCTTTTACAATTATCATATTTATTTATATGGATTTTAATCATATATAATTTTTATTTAAAAAATATTTGTAATAAGTTTTAATTATATAAAACAATGTTTTATATTTCCCATTGCATAAGCTACGTACTACTAAATAATAGACAAAGAGGCGTGTAAGTTTATATTTGTAAATGAAGAGATGTTAAAAGATGTTTTTCATAATTTTCATTTTTTATAATAATAGCATTGATTGGCTTCAAATAATATTCTGATTTTGTTTAAATATTAATCGATTTTGTTAATTAGGTCTTTATATATAATTTGAAGCGGAAAGTTAAATTGAAATGACAATCATTTATTAACCTATGATTACATATATATATATATATATATATATATATATATATATATATATATATATATAAAAATTTGTCAATTATCTAGATTAAAATATAATACATATTTTTAAAATTTGATAAAGTACAAAATAATCTTCGATAAATATAAATGAAAATATTTTAAAAATATAATTATCTAATTTTATTATAATAAATTATTATCCTAATAACATACTATAACATTACTTTATTTCTTATCTCATCTTATAATAGTCCATTATATTTCTTCATATATAAATAACAATGAGATAATAAAGTCTCTAGATATTAACTTAACGTAAATAAACTATACAATATAATACATTAATAGATATAATACTATTAATATGTAAAATATATATATATATATATATATATATAATAGGAAATATCACAATATATAAAATAGATAGTAATACATATTAAGTTATGTGTACAAATATACAATATCTAATTAAACAATTTTATTCAATATATTATCCTGTATAATTTATATAATTTTGACATCTAAGTTTTAAAATATTTAAGTTTTACCTTAATAACATCACATCTTAGCAAATAAAGTCACCGCCGTGATACTTTTTAATCTTGATTATTTTTTTCTACACAAAATTTTATATATGATAATTATTTGAAAATTAAAATATATCTACATAACAATTACAAGCTATTACAATTTTTCAAAAGATGTCATCAACTATTAACATACACTATTTCTTTCTTTTACATATCTCATATCTCTTACGTTTAAATCTTTGTCTTCTTCTTATCTGATTACTGTTATTTTCTTATTCTTATCTCTCTCTTTTTTTACATTAAATTGATCATTTTTCGTTGTTACATAATATTAGATTTAGTTTATATTATTAATTAGTTATTTTATATATATTTTAGTTTATCTCATCAATATAGGATAAAATATTCAAATATATATCTCAAATTGAACGGAATACAAACACAGAAGTGTTAACGCACATTAAATATTAGATTAAAATTTATCCTACTACTATATACATATGATATTCATATTATGACCTCATATTTGTCATATATCACTAAATAAATCCTAAATCTTAAATAGTAAAAAATGGAAAAAGTAACTAATTGCACGACACTCTTTATTTTTTATTTGGATGATGGGCCGAATTCGAGCCCAAAGGTTTGAAGCCCAACTAACCACATTAGTGGTTTGTTGGTTTATTTGTCTTTGTCCACGCACAGTGAAATAGTGAAATAGTGAAATAAACGAAATGGTTGTGTTTCTTTCTGGATGCGAGAATGCCATTCACAATTTGATTAACGTTGAACGGTAATGTGAGAGCGAAATTGGAACGTGGTGGATGGAATCTTGATCCATTCTTCTTCCAAATATCCCTTTCCACTCTCCCAATATGGACGAAGATTCGCTCAAACGTAACACAGATTGCGTTTATTTCTTGGCCTCTCCCCTCACTTGCAAGAAGGTTCTCTCTTTCTCTCCTTCCTTTTCCCTTTCTTCAATGCCTCATTTTTTTATTCTTCGCTGCGCAATTCCTTACATTCATTCTCGTTTCTAATGCCGTTTCTTATCTTCTTCGATTGCCTGAAACCTAGTTTTTTTTTTCTCCGTTTCCGTGTTTTCCAGTGCTTGGATTATACAATGCTTGGTGTTTTGGAGTTTATGTGACTTTACATTTTTGTAATTGCCGATGTTTTATCATCTTTAGATTTGATGCATTTCGCGCTTTGTTTCTCAGGGGTCCGAATGCGAGTATCGGCACAATGAGATTGCGAGGCTTAACCCTAGGGATTGCTGGTACTGGGTATCTGGCCAATGCCTTAATCCAACGTGTGCTTTTAGACACCCTGTGAGTTCTTCATTTATTTATTTTATGTCATGAATTGAATGCTCGCCCGAATTTTCACTTTCTATTTGCTCTTCAATTTATTGCTTATTTGGAGTGGAATGCCTTAGTGAAACTGTAATATTCTTTTATGTTGGACGACATTGTCTCGTGTGTGGTTAAATAGTTGTCTACTTATCTCTGTTGGGGTTGTTTTTATTACGGTTGCTGAAACAAACCTACTGGTTATTTCTCAAATATATGCCTGAATAAAGGGATTTGTTTATGTTAAACCCTTATAAATTCCGGCACTGTTACATGTTTCTCTCTTGCAATATCAAAAGCACAGTTATTTGACTGATTTTTTTTTTTTTTTCATGTTCTTTTTGTAGTGTTTGATAGAATATCATTTTTAATGTCTTTTTGTTTATTAGAATAATGGGACGTATTTTCTCGATGTCTTGGATTATATCCATTGTCTACTTGAAAATGGGATAAAAGATTGTCTTGCATAATTTATTTTTTTCTTTCGCTAAATTATTTGTAACGTTGTAGTTGACATGATGATTTGGGTTCCTTTCTAAGGAAAATTGATTTTACTCGATTGTATAGATTTGATGATTAAAAATATAAAACGTAAGAATTGGCTCATTAAATTCACTGCATTACTGATATACAGTGAAAATCTGTTGTTACTGCTATCTCTTTCACGCACCCGTGCCTTTGATATCCATTTTGTTTATTTTTCTCTTGTTTAACAGTAATCTCCGTCTGTCTGCCCAATTTTAACCTCTTATCACTGTCGATTTTTTTTTTTTCTTCTCAGCCTCTGGATGGGCATACTGGAGTGCCAGCGCCATCTGAACCTACACAAAACTCATTGCCTGCAAACAAGACAATGGTTCCCTGTTATTTTTTCTTCAATGGATTTTGCAACAAAGGTGACAAGTGCTCTTTTTTGCATGGGCCTGATGATAGTAGTTTTACTGTAAAACCTATGAAGAATGATAATGGAAGCACCGATGCACTCAATCTAGAAAATAAAACATCCTCAGGAAATAGAACAGGTGTAGCATCAATACCAACTGACCAATGTTTAACTGCTCCAAAGAAATTGTCTGATTTTAAGCTTCAGCCCAAGGAAGATCCTCAATTACAGTTACCCAAAAAGGTTAAGCAGCAAGGCGATCCACTAGAGACATCTGCTTTAGAATATAAAGAAGCGGCAGTGAGTAGGTCAGACTCTCCGTTTCCAGAAGATGGCTTTGTTCATAATGTATCTCATTTATGCGCTGAGCAGAGTTCAGAGGAGCAAGTAAATAGTCAGGTAGAGCCTGAGGAGCGGTGGGAATCATCTCCTCATTCCCCTGGATTTGATGTTCTTGTTCATGATGAATTGGAGAACTTGGGTTACGAGGAAGATTCTGAATATTTACCAGTGCTTGATAGGAATGAGCAACAGCTGAATGAGCAGTACTTGGGGTATGAATTTAAAGATCCAGTTGAGTATGATACTATGTGCCCAGAAGCTGATATTATGTATCCACAAGAAACATATGATGGTTACAGATGTTTTGATAGAGACCTTGCTCATGCTAATGGCAGAACAATTCGTACTTATTCCAGAGATATATTCTTTGATTCTATATTGTCCAGGAAAAGGATTCGGATGTCAGCTGAGGTGGCTGCCTATGACAAGGATTTAGATCTACGTGACCATCTGAGGAGACGTAGAGAAAGTAATGGGTCCCCCTTTGCAGGTCTCTTAAGAAGACAAGAATCATCTTCTTTGGTTCGAAACCAGGAAAGGAATCAGAAGATGCTTGGCATTGAGCAGCGGCCAAGTAGAAGATTGACATCACAACTGGGATATAGTGCTATAGGTTCGATTGGAGGAGAGATTGAAACACTTTCAATTACTAACAAGCACAGGTTATTCAGGCACTCCCAGCAACATAGACCAAGGAAGCATTATAGAGAAAAACCAGCTAGACGACCTTTCCTGTCATCTAAAATATCTAGGAAATCAGTTTTTAAAGAAAGGGGGTTTATTCAGGAATCCACTACATTTTCAGGACCTAAGACTCTTGCAGAAATTAAAGAAGAGAAGAAGAAGGCTGAAGAAGGTCTACTTTGGAACAGCACATCCACTGATTTCCAGGACCCCAAACCTTTGAGTGAAATTCTCAAGGACAAAAGGACTATGGATTAGTGAGACATAGCTGCAAAACCTGCAACAATTGCATTGGGAGATTAAAATGACTAATGATTGAAGAGACTAATATTTTTACCGAAGATAAGGGATAAAATTGGCTGATGGCCGTGCTTGGTAAAATGACCCTGCTTTTGCCATCGGTAGATGGGTGATAAGTTTTCGTTAGAGTGAGTGTAAGGTTTTTGAGGCCCGTGGCGGATAAGATAGATATATTAGATAACCAGTGTTTGACTAGAAATGTTATCTTCTGTAGTTAGTTGAACATGTTGATTTGGACAGTAGTGAACGTCTTAATCTAGAGAGTCGATTACTGATTTACATGAATTTTACGTGTGATATTGGCTTACTGTTTTTCCTGTACAGACTGCTGCTTAGACCAATCTTGCTTTGGACAGTGTTTTTAGTATATGATGATTATTCGGGATTTTGACAATTATTGTTGCTAAGTATATATATATATATATATATATATATATATATATATATATATATATATATATATATATATATATATATATCGGCTAAGTTTTTCTTCTTTTTTCACGTAATTGGTATAAATGATATTTGTTTATGAATTTGATTATAGGGGCATTCATGTTTTTTTCAGATTCATCTGAAACAATCTAATTATTTATTGTATTGTGCATGCACAGAAATGAAACATTTTTCTCACCATCCAATAACCGGGGTGGGGTTCAATGCCGTAAGAGGTCCTAAGTTAGATAAAAAAATAAGGATAAATTAGTCGTTAGATTTCCGAACTATGAATATATTCTGAGATCATTTGTTTTACTTGGGTCTTTCTACATGTAATTTTATTTTAATTGAGTTCTCATAAATATTCATTTTTAGTGGTTTCAAGTGATTTCTCTAAGAGCATACATCTGAAACGACACACGAAAGCTTCTTTCTGCACTTGATTAATTTTTTGACACGTCCTTCATTATTTTATGGATTAAACTACTGCGTCGTTTGGTTCATAGTTAATTGAAATTAATAATATCAAGAATTTATGCTACGCAATTTGATATGAATCTAATACTATATCGATGGGGAAAATTCAACTTATTTTCACGAGACTCAATCAAAGTATGAGTTAGAAGGCTACCTATAATTGAAGGTGTTGGCAACTTAAAGTGGTAAAGGGAAAAGGAAAACAATCTCTCTCTCACTCTTGAAGAAGGCAACAGATCTCCAATAAATCCAGGGAAAGGAGTGAAATAAAAAGAAAACAACTGTTCTTTTGTTTAAATTATAGCATAAAAATTGAAAATAAATTACGGAATAACATTTGCAGTTAATATAAAATTATTTAAAAATATTTATTCTTCATCTTTATTATTCAATTTTGATAGTCTATTATATTATTAAATAATAATAGTAATAATAAATAAATAAATCTCTAATTCGTATTCTTAGAAAAAAATGAAATATTCTCTTTTTTTATTTCTTCTAATATTTTTTTCTCAAGATATTGAAAATAAATTTGTATATTAAAAGTAATTTGTTTTTTTTTTCTTGTCAAATACCTTTTTTTAAGAACACAATGAGTCAAGTTGGATGGAATTCTCTATAACTATTTATATGAGGATAACATAAAAAAGACAAAAAATTAAATAAATTTTTTAAATATTGAAATTAGATCTTCGACTGAAATTTTAAATATAATCTTTTATAAGATCTTGTCTCATATTAAAGAGAAAACAAAGTCCTCCAATAGACAGAATAAGTTTTTCTACATTAATCCTGAAGATCTATATAATATTTGGAAAAAAAAAAATGAAGTCTCTCTCACACATAAGGATGATTGTGGAGTCTACTATGGGACTTTAAAAAGTTATTATTTTCCACTAAAACAATAACTAAATAAGATATTTTTTAGGTGGCAAGAAGAACTAAAAATAATTAATAAAATTTCTCAAAATAAAATCTGTTCTAACTTCCCGACAAGAGCAGTAAATATGATGGAACACTGAATATTCTGACTGGGCTGCCAAACAAAATTGATCTGGCCAAGTAAACCCAATAACTCACTCTGCTTTTGACTCTTTCAGTATTCTTCATTTGATCAATAAAGATAAATACTATCCCCAATATATTGTTGACAACCAATTCACTTTCAAACCCCATTCAAAGTTCAGGAATTTATTCTCATTTTATAAGCTCATAATAATTTTTACCATAAATGAAAATATTCAAACAGAACAAAAATATAAAAACAACATTTTCTTCTAAACTTGGATACATCACATTCAGTCAACATAGGTTGAACAAGAAATCTGTGCAAACTGTAAAAGCCCAACTCAACTCTCGGTGAGACATTTTTCAACTATGTTATTAACAGGAACAAACCTTGTCCCTACCCACTATAAATAAATTAGTGCATGATCTGAAATTACGAAATGTAATATTACATCTATGCAAATTGACCTAGTCCACGCGTTATACAAAATGTTTTTTCTCCTTACATACATAGCTTGGTCACACAGAAATTTTGAACTCTTGCTGTATATGTTACTCCATTTCAAGTCAAAAAAGTATGATGTAATTAGCGTGAAGATTGTCAAAATCTTTAACCGATCAGCGGTACCAAACCCAGAGATTAGATTCTCCAACTGATTTTCTTGTTCACATATATATATATTCATTTATTTGTCATTTTCCCCAACCTCATTCTCTCTCTAACAATCGAAGGTCAAACATCAGCATATAGCTAGTTAAGCTACTCAAAATTTCCCTTCAAATTCAACCACATCACACACAGAGAGGGAGAGAGATGACTGAGTTGCAGAGGTCTGTAACATCATTCAGAAGACAAGGATCTTCAGGGTTGGTGTGGGATGACAAGTTCATCACAGGCCTTGAGAACCAGAATCAGAACCAAGAAGCCAAGGATAATAATAATCAGACTCGAGGTCAAAGGGAGATGCAGGGTGTTGGATCAAGTGCCACGTTGACGCGGAGCAGATCAGATGGAGCACGACCTTATCGGACGGTCAACGTTGCAGCACCATCCATCGACCCACCTTCTCCCAAGCTTGCAACCTGTGGCTTTTGTTCTCTCTTTCGGAAACCAGTTCCAGCCAAATCCACCAAATCTAAAAGACGTAGGTGATGTATCACTCTCATCATCTTTCTTTCCGATTTTCTCCAACTTGTAAATTAGTGCTTCTTGTTTATCTTATATCGTTTCTCCCTGTTTCAACTTCGTGGTTTGGATTTGGGTTTGTTATTTGTAAATTCCTTCAACATATCATATGGATGTGTAACAAACTTATTATGCCAGTTACATCTATTCATTCCAGGGCGCTACAAACTCCCACATCGCCTATAGCCTAGACTATAAATAAAGGGAAAATATATATATATATATATATATATATATATATATATAAGCTAGTTTTAGTTTAAATCTGTCCTGGGTTATCATTTAAAGCCTTCTGGATATATATCCAGAGTCTCAGGTAAACTCGTGTTTCTTCTCCTTCTATGTCTCGTGATGATAATGTTTTTCAAATTCAGTTGACCTTTTACTTCATTCCTGCTCCTCCTCTCTGCTCAAATACAGTCTTGTTTTATTACAATAAAATATTGTAAATTTAGAATTTGTTTTCAATCTTTCTCCTGATACTTGTCACCCTTCAGTGTAGGAAGGATTGGAGTTGAAATATTAGAAATAAAATATGGAGTAATTACAATGAGTAGTGAACATTAGTTCTGTTCTTCTGGAAAAACTACTAATGTTGTTTGAATTAGTTTAATTTACTTAACTTTATAAAAATTGTATTTTAAACTTATTTTTTATAATAAATAACGATTATCGATTAAGGATATATTCAGATTTAACTATTAGGATATTTCTAGACAAAATATATTTTGAATTAAAATATTAAATAAATTTAAGTTAATTAAGTTTTTATATTTAAATTCGATCTAATATTTGTACAGATTGACATGTACTATTAAGTGAGTGTTTGACACAATGTTTAGTTAATTATCATTAAGGTAATCATTTTGTTTGCGAATAAGGATGGTAAGAAGTCAAACAATAATAGAACATGAAAACTACAACTCTCAAAGGCAATTGCTTATTGTCTTGTCTTAAAGTAAGAGAATTGAATTGGTTTTTAGCCTCTTAAAGAATAAAATCAAATAACATAACAACTAAAGTTCACATTACGAGAACAATGAAAACAAAGTTTTAAATAGACCTATATGGTACGTACGCATATACATATATTAATTTTAAAATTAAGCCCATTTAAACTAAAAACGTTAATTTTAAAATAAAAGTCATATCAGTTTATCATCATGAAAGTATTAAAAGATATATTTTAAATTACCCATAATTATATTATAAGATTTTTCTTTTTAAGGTATCATCACTTTAAAAGAAACAATATTTATATACACGCCATTAAATGTTTCTTATACTGTTCAGTCATGTTTTAACTTGTGTACAATTTAGAAATTAACAAAAAATAGTTATAATAATAAACATAACCATATATATTGACAACATGAAAGAAAAATAATTCCAAAAACAACTCATTTTATTATTATAATAATTATAAAAGAGATTTAATAAAAATAATTTAAAATTATTAAAATAAGTTGTAAATGTTTGACAAAATAGTTTTTTTCAATAAAAATAACAATTTCAGTATTTCTCTATACTAGTTCATATTAAGTGTTGGTAAACTGAGATACATATACATGGAGTAAAGGACAAACATTAATTGAATTTCTTGTTATGATATAATAGTTAGAGAATGACATGTACATTTATTTCAAATGAAAAGTAAATTTGTTAAAAAAATGTATTATTTTATTAAAAGTTAAATTATTTTTACCTTTGTATACGAAAATAAAGAGAAAATATTATATTAATATATTTAAATTTTCATATTTAATAAATTAATTCTTTAATTATATTAATATGCATAGCTATAAAATTGTGTAAATAATAGTTGTTGGGACTTAGAAAAAATTAGTGTTTAGGTCTAATTAAGTATATTAATAGACATAAATATTAATTTTTGTATATTAATATGCATAGTTATTATGTATTTAGCTATTAAAGTTAACTATAGTTATTAATATGTTTAATTACTTAATTATCTTATAACTATAAAATTTAGAGTTAATCTAATTTTGACCTTTTAAGTTTATAAATATTATTTTGGTCTCTTTAATTAAAAAAAACACTAAATTTAAGAAACTAAAATAATATTTTAAAAGCATGTATTTTTTTAAACATGAAATATTACAACTATATTTTTATTATAGACATACTAATGAAATGTCCTCTATTTACTGAACATATAAAAAATAGAAAATAGATTCACTTTCTTAAAGTCATGTTAAATTACCCTTACTCGTTTCAGATTTAAAAAAAAAAAACATATTGATTTTAAATTTAACAAAATAAAAAATAATTTTAAAATTTTAAAAATATTATTTAAAGAAAAATTGAGCTATTTACTGTTATATATTAGTAATGTAAAAAAATATTAGTTAATTATAAATTTTCCTATAAAAATATTTTTATGAAACATTGTTTCTTATGAATATAGAAGAAAATAGATTTTGAGATTAATCTCCCTTATATATAAATCACACATAGGGTAGTCTATTTATAATAGAGAGATACAACTAAAAGAGTAACTGAATGTAACAGAATAAACAGAAGATATTGCTTGATATTGTGATTAACAATATCTAACAATATCTTAACAATATCAAATAATATCTAAACAATATCTAACCCTCCCCCTCAAGCTGGAGCATACAAATCGTATGTGTCAAATTTGTTACAAATATAATCAATTCTAGGATCCTGTAAAAATTTAGTAAAAATATCTGCTAACTGATCACTACACACAAGTAACATTTGAGTGACATCTCCAAATTGTAACTCTCTAAGTAATTGCTTGAGCCAAACAAGTTCACAGGCAGCTGAGGTCATAGCTTTATATTCTGCTTCTACACTAGATCTTGCCACAATACTCTATTTTTTACTTTTCCATGAGACCAAGTTACCACCAATGGAGACACAATATCCAGATGTAGATCTTTGGTCTGAAAATGGTGACAAAGATGTTGTTTCAACTGAGAGATGTCATGATTGCCACTACCTGTAAGAATGATGTCATTAACATATACTATCAAGTAAACACATCCAACACTTGAGTATTGATAAAAGACAGAGTGATCTGCTTCACACCGAGTCATACCAAATTGTTGAACAACCTTGCTAAACTTTCCAAACCAGGCCCTAGGAGACTGTTTTAGGCCATATAGGGATTTGCGAAGACGACATATCATCCCAGAAGACTCCTCTTGAGTAACAAACCCAGGAGGTTGCTCCACATAGATTTCTTCTTACAAATCACCATTGAGGAAAACATTTTTAACATCTAGTTGATAAAGAGGTCATTGTTGAAGAGCGGCCATGACGATAAATAAACGAACAAAAGTCATCTTTGCCACGGGAGAAAAGGTATCTCCATAATCCAACCCAAAAATTTGAGTATAATCTTTGGCCACAAGACGAGCTTTGAGGCGATCAATAGTACTATCAGGTCCAAATTTGATAGCAAACACCCACCTGCAACCAACAACAGATTTCCTAGATGGTAACGAGACTAATTCCCAAGTTCCACTATTATGAAGAGCACTTAGTTCATCTAACATGGCCTGACGCCAACCAGGATGGGCTAAAGCTTCACGGACAGTTTTTGGAATAGTCACATAAGAAAGAAAGGAAAAACATGTATAAAAAGGTAATGACAGTCGATGATAACTCAAACCAATATAATGGGGAGAGGGATTACGTGTAGAATGGATACCTTTTCGGAGGGCAATGGGAAGGTTAGACTCAGGTGTCACATCCGGAGGAGACAGAGTAGTTGGCACTTGAGTAGAGTCACATGGTGGTGGTTGTGATTGGTTTCGATAACTATAAACCTGAAGAGGCAGTGAAGAAGAAGCTGATTGCGGAGCAGAAACTAATGGTGAAGAAGACACAGTTAGAGGGTCACAAACAACAGGAACTTTAAATGTACTAGGAGTGTTGACAAGATTGGATGGAGACAGAGGTGAAGATTGACTTTTAAAATAAAAAGAGAACTCATCAAAGGTGATATTTGCAGACACAAAATAACGGTTAAGAGAAACAGAAAACATTTGTATCCTTTTTGTGATCTTGTAAACCCTAAGAAAACACATTTATGTGATCTAGGAGAAAGTTTGTCAAGACCAGAACTAAAATTATGAATAAAACATGTAGACCCAAAAACTCTTAGAGGTAAGGGATGAAGTGGTTCATGAGGGAATAAAATGGAATGAGGTATTTTATTATCTAAAATCGAAGATGACATGCGATTAACGAGATAACATGCAGTAAGAAGAGCATCACCCCAAAAATGCTGAGGAACCTCTCCATGAATTAAAAGAGTGCGAGTTGTTTTAATAAGATGTCTATTTTTACATTCAACTACACCATTTTGTTGAGGTGTATAAGCACAAGAAGTTTGATACAAAATACCATGAGAAGCCATGAATTGTTTAAAAGAATGAGAAAGATATTCACGACCATTATCACTGCGCAAAACTCTAATAGAAACACCGAACTGAGTTTGAATTTCATTGAAAAAAGTTTGAAAGATATGAAATAATTCAAAACGATTTTTTATCAAAAATAACCAAGTGCATCTGGAATAATCATCAATGAAAGTAACAAAGTATTGAAAACCTAAAGTAGACTTAACGCGGCTAGGTTCCCAAATGTCAGAGTGAACCACGACAAAAGGGGACGAAACACCACGTGTGACACTACAAGGAAAGGAAGTACGACTATGTTTGCCTAATTGACACGACTCACATGTCAAACTAGACAATTTAGATAAGGCAGTGACAAGTTGTTGTAACTTGGCAAGACTTGGATGACCTAACTGAGCATGGAGAAGAGAGGGAGACTCTATAACTGCACCAACATGTGTAAAGGGACGAAGATGATAAAGAGCATGAGACTCACATCCTGTGTCAATCACCTGTTTCGAACTCCGTCCTGTAAACACACAAAATTGTTGGTAAAAGAAACAACACAATCAAGAGAACGAGTTAGATGACTGATGGATAACAGGTTAAAAGGAGACCCAGGGACATAAAGAACATTATCAATGGTTAAAGAAGGGAAAAGTTTAACACTTCCAACACCATGAGATGATACTCTAGAGCCATCAGCCAGTGTAACAAAAGGTAAAGGATCAGGAGAGGATAAAGAGGAGAACAAAGATTTGTTACCAGTAATATGATCAGTGGCTCCTGAATCAAAAACCCAAGGACCAAAAGAAGATTAGGTCAGACCAGCAAAAGATGTACCTGTGTGTGCGACAGACACAGTGGAACTAGAAGACTATTGATCCTTATATCATTTGAGAAATTTGTTGAACATAGCAGGTGTGTCTAATAAAATAGAAGAAGGAGGATCCTTAGCAGATAAAGGTGGGGAAAGATCAGTCTGAGCAACTGCAGCAGATCGAGGAGGACGACCATGTAATGCATAACACTTTGTCAATCTTGTGACCTAGCTTGCCACAATGTTCACACTCATGTAATGCATAACACTGGTCAATCTTGTGACCTAGCTTGTCACAATGTTCACACTTAGGACGTCATTTTCCGTGTTTGCGAGGGTGAGTTCGGTCATCACGGTGAGATACCAATGCAGAAGAATCATTAACAGAAGTAGGTGTGTCAGGGTTGGGTTTTGCTGGTATACGCAAAAGAGTGGAGCAGGTCGATGTCAAGGTGGGGACAACCGGAGAACCCAAAATCTGATCATGAATATGTGAATATTGATCAACAAGTCCGTGTAATGCCCCTAGCATGAAGAACTTTGATCATTGTGCTATCTCGGTGGCAGGGTCGGGGGAAGGAGGCAATAACTCATTGAACTCATGAAAAAGAGCATGAATTTTGCCCATATAATCAGTCATAGAATCTTGATGTTTAGAGGAAATAACATCTACAAATTTAGAACAGACATCATAGAGACGTTGAGTATCATTGGTGTATAATAACTTGACATGTTCCCAGATTTTGACACATGTTTCGTAGGAACGAAAAATTTGTTTTAACGAAGGATCAAGAGTACCCTTGAGAACCACACATAATTGAGCATCAATGGTGTCTCAACGGTCTTCCTCATCAGGAGTGAGAGTAGGTGTTTTCGGGGCAAGATGATCAAGATATTTTTGACTCTTAAGTCATAATTTGACGTCTGATGACCATGTGGCATAATTAGGGTCAGTTAACTTGTCAATGAATAAGTGCACATTAACATAGTTAGTGTAGATGGAAGGATCAGACGCAGTACTGACAGAATTGGAAGTACTAAAAGGAGCGGAAAAAGTCATAAAGGGCGGAGGCGACGAATGCGATAGTGACAGCGACGCATGAACCAGAACACTAGGTAAGTTCCCAGGAAAGAGAGGTGGGTCACTAATGGACACACTTAAATACCAAGTTTTTCCTTGTCAGAACCTTCCTAGACATGCACTTTCACACTACCAAATAATATCCAGTAACAAAAATAACATTTTTCTGATATGGAAGATCAGTTTAACCGACAGCGATAGCGGCGGTGGTGGCAGCTCCAACAGTGGTCAAAGGCGAAAAAAAAAATTTCAAGATAACCTTAAACTCTAGATACCATGTTGAATTAGAAGAAAATAGAGTTTGATATTAATCTCCCTTATGTATAAATCACACCTAGGGTAGTCTATTTATGATAGAGATACAACTAAAAGAGTAACTGAAAGTAATAAAATAAACAGAAGATATTGTTTGATATTGTAATTAACAATATCTAACAATATCAAATAATATCTAAACAATATCTAACAGTTTCAATATAAAAGTAAATACAAAATAAAATATATTATTTAATTTGTTATTATATTTATATACCTTTTTAATATAATATACTTATAAAAATTATTTATATTAAAAATAAAATTAAGGTGAATGTAATTTTAAAACTAAAAAAAATATGAATATTATGTAATAATATATTAGGATAGGTGAATGTAATTTTGCATTACAAAAATGAATTGAATTTAATAAAATATTATGTTTTATAGTGAACTTTTTCACTGGTGGGTGACTGAAAAACGACCCATTTGTTAAAAAATTGCTGACGTTAATGTTTTGGTTGTCAACTGTAATTATACCAGGGAGACACCATAAAATTGTTTTTAGTTGTTTGGTGTAAAAGGACGAGAGTAAAATTTAAGATTAGTAAACTTTATTCTATATTTTTTTAAAATAAAATATTTGTTACTTTTATGTTATTTATTTTTCTCATACATTTTATATTTCATTTCTTTGTCTCACATGACAAAGAATTGTTAAAAAAACAAAACAACCAACTTTTTTATATATATAAATTTTGTAATCTTTAAGTTCTTTAATTTCAAAATTACTCAATATATTTTATAAATATTTCCAGTAATTTTAATGTTTTTAATTTTAATAATTATTACATTTTTATGTTTTCATTAAAATATTTTTAAAGTAATGAGTGAATATTTTTTACAATCATTCCATCATTGTTGATAATAATGACTGCAACTAATTTGCATAACTATTTTGGGCATGCAAAAAGATTTTGAATTTATTACTAAAAATAATAGAGAAAATCAGTAAAATTTCAACTTGTTTCTTTGTTTTTTTTTTTTTACTATTTATAATCAATAATAATATCATGATTAAAAAAACTAATAATATTTGTCTATTCCCGTAGTCTCTTTCTTTCTATTCTATTCAACGTTTGAGTATGGAAAGTGATTTTGATTTGCTTGCAAAAGTTAGTTCAGAGAATAAAAAATTAGGTTAGAATTATTCAGTAAACTAATTAAACTACAAATATTTAGTAAAATTGCAGCTAGTAATATAAAACAATATAAAAATATATAAATTATTTCTTTAGTCATAACTTAAAATTTACTAGTTATATACTTTTAAATAATAATCATTTTGTATATTTACTATTTAAAATTTGAGATACTATATTTTATATTTTTTAAAATATATATTAAATAGAATGAGATAATATAATTGCATTTACACTACAAAAACAATTCTTTATATGGGTGAGATAAAATTGAGAATGATAAAGTTTTTAGAATACAAAAATAAAATGAAAGAATTTTTTTAATAAGATAAGTAAATATTGTCTAAATTTATGAGAACAAACAGTATATAAAATAACCTTAAAATTAATAAAATATTATAAATTAGTTAAATAACTTAGAAATTACTTTTTCACGTCAACCAGAATCCCTACCTACCACACTAGAAGATGTAATATTGTTATAATAATAATGATTACATTAATGAGCACGCCGTATTAATGAGAAAACTTTCCATGTATTTATTACATAATAGAACAAATAATGAAGGATACACAATTGTTAAAAATTATAGGTCTCCTCAATATCTGAATTAATAATGTAGTGCTTGAATGACTAATAACAAATAAAAAACTACTCAAACTAATATTCATAATTAACTGTTGACTAAAAAATAATAATTCAAAACCATACAAGATAGTAAAATTTTAAATTAAGTACCATCTCAACTGTTTCTGTTTATTAATTATTATTTATTCTCAAATAAGATGTGTGCTACCCTCCATCCAGATAAAGTCAAATCTAATACCACAAAGAATAGATAGATGCCTAAATAAATATTAAAAAAAAAAAATCCATGCAAACACTAATTGTCATAAAATTAGTTCAGTCAATTTTGAAAATCAGAGAATCAAAGTATAAAATAGATTAAACTTATTTTAAGTCGGACTAACAAGACAAAATTATGATATGTTCAAACTGATTATTTATTTTAAAAAATACGTATTTTTGCTTGAAAACTTAATTAACAATAATTAATTGATATAATTCTGATATAATATAAGATGGATAGTTACATGGACTATAATATTATTAGATTATAATATATTTAATTTAATTTCACGTTCAGTTTGAAAATATAAATCCTGTATGAAATTTTATATTTTTAGTTAATATATTTTACTTTTAATGGAATATCATTTTTGAAAATGAATACTGTTTGATTTAAAACTGCACATCATGCCGTTTAATTATGAGCTGCAGGGGATCCAATTGCCATGATCAGTCCCTCTTTGATTCGATGGGGGACCAACACATTTCATAATTTTAACGGTCTGTCATCTCCTTTTATTTTTCAAATCCATGTGATTCATATAGTGCTATGTAGGTATACTCTTTTTTTTTTATATATAAAAAAAAACTTATGATGAAGATATTTTATTTCAATAAATTGTTGATCACAAATTAAATTATAACTAGAATTTTTTTAAACATTATTATAGAATAAGACGCTTATAAATAAAAATATTATTAAGAAAAATGATTAAATATTTAAAAAATAAATAAGATACACTCAAAATGGCAGCATATAAGGTTAATAAAACATTCATTCACTAAAAAGAAATGTTTAGTATGAGCTGGGTTCACATCCCCTGTCAATGAAAAAATGAAGCCCAGCTGTATAAGATTCCAAAATTAAGGCTGTCACTAATTTGTCACATTTCTTGAAAACAAGACGCAAAACTGGAAGAGGACATGAATAAAACTTGATCACATTTCAACTTTCATGTACAGACAAGGCATCTGATTCGAACAGTGAATACAAATTTTGCGACCATAAGATGTGGTTGCTAAATCATGTGTATAATATGTACCTTAATCCAACGCCTTCTTAACTTTGGTCTTGAACAGTAGAATATATAAATTTTCCATTGAAAAATAAAGAAAACACCCAGTTGAATGTGTGACGAATGAACCAAAATTTGAGCCTACAATGCAATGCCAGACAGGACCATACGATTTGTCAAATTCCTGCACATGAACATACCAGTAGTACATTGTAAATAGATAAACAAATTTATCAACTGTTAAAAGAGTAGAAGAAAGAACCACTATATTTTATAGATCTAGCTGACCAGATATAAAAACAAACCAATTCTATCTCTGTAGTGCACATGGGTTAGGCTCTGTATAAGTTATTAATTGAAAAATCAACCTTTTTTGAGACAAAAGTAATCCATGATTAGGTATGATATTAGGGGTACGAGGGTTTGACACATGGGCTGTTGGAGAACTTTGTAATTAAGATTTGATCTTGACAAAGGACTCGAGTTGAATTAACTAGTGAACAGTCAAGATCGAAAGATTCATTCACAGGTGTTTGCTAGGCCTGTGATCTCCACTGTATTGGACCAGTTTCAAATATTCTATTTCTACCCAATAAACAAGGAAGAGAGACAAAAAATGTCAACATATGATTCGTCTAGTCCGTTTTCACTATTAATTCTTCTGTGGGGTTCATTGAATTTGCACAAATCTCAATCATCGGATAAGCATAGTTCCAAAAAGAACACCTACAAAATAATCTCAATCACTTTTCGGGTTTTTGCCTCAAACTCTATTGAATAGCAACACCAAGGTAATAGGTGCACATAACTATACTTTTTAAACATTTCATCAAAAGGTTCATTTGTAAAGATTTCAGTATTTATTTAGTTTCTATAATCTGTACAGCTTTTTTTTTTTTAATATTTAAAAGAACACCGAGTCTTTGAGAGAAGTGAAATAATTTGAATAAAGTACCTAAAAAAATAGCATGAAAAAGAAAAGAACACAACACTACCCATCTCTAGGGTCCTACAATACCATAACTTAGGGAATGGCTCTTAATTCAACGGTGGGGCGGGGGGAGGTGAAATTGAAGTGTACCTTCTTTACGTTATGAGCTATATGTTTTGCGCTGAACTTCTCCAAGCTATCGTATGTTCTTCTTGCACAACGAAACGCATGCACTTGCATGAAGCACGGCATGTCCGAGACCAAAATTTTAACTTGAAGATATGCAGCCACAGAGGATAATGTTTCGATTTGGGACACCGACTTTCGTGCCTCAACCATTCCTGCCACTGCAAAGTGTTTCTCGGTGTGGGACACTGACTTTCTTCCCTCCTCACCTGCGCTCCCTCTTGATGCTGGTGATGCCGCTGCCTCTATAAAAGACACCGATTTTCTCCCCTCAACAAATCCTCCCGCAGGTGATCCTAACTCTATGCAAGACGTTGATTTCCTCGCCTCCACAAATTCTTTTCCTCTACCTCCAATGTCTACGTCTCTGTTTCCATTACCGCCATGAAAAGCTCGAGTTCTCGAAATCTTGTGCAACCAACTGCGTGAATTGGATTTCTTGTCCTGCCCCACACCATGCTCAAACTCTTTCTTTCTGAGGTTCCCTATGCCACCTTTGTAAATGTACATGAACCCTCTCTTGTGTTGCTTGTCTTGGTTATCCATTTCTGAGGTACTCCTTGAAGATGAATAATTGGTAGACTAGATCCAATTGGGACTAATGAAGCATCGAGATACGTATGCATATATTTATATAAAATGTTTGGCAGGGTATGTAACTATGTATTTGGAATCATGAGCAGTTGGAAGACCAATTATTATAATAATGGTCGTTCGGAAGAAGGTGACATGTTATGAAGGCAAACCCATGTGGTTGTGCCTGCGGTGAAGGAAAGGTAATGTTATATATAGATATATTAATTTTACCTAAGATTTGATCTTGTGATTTAAAATGAAATAATAATGGGCATTGTGGTGTGGGACTAATGATTAGTCTCTGGGGCATATTTGTCTCCCAGAGACTATGCTTGTAGACAAGCAAGCATCGAAGGACCCCTACCCTTCTCACCATCTATTTGTTGGGTACCCCCATAAAATGGTCACTATCTAGTATCTGCTACTTTGTAGCCTCAAAACTTATCCCCCCTCATTATCAACATGCACGAATACTTGAAAGTTATTGGGTGGACATGGTTTGAGGGTTAAGCCAACAATGAATAACGACCAGGTCACTTGTGGTTGAACATTTATGAGAAAGACAGTGATAGTTTGGTAATTTGTGGTACGGTTTTTGTATACACAGTAGCACAGCATATGTCTATGTTGTCATTTTTGGCCCTTCCTTTTCGTCTGCCTTGCCTGCCTGAGGTAGATTCACTCAATCCTCTCAATTAAATTATAACTCTGCAGATGCACCTAAACTCCCTCAAAAAACAAATCTGTGAACAGTGCTGCAACACGTATCATCATTTACAAGTTGTTTAACCATCTAATCATCAATCCCTCCATAAAAAATTAAGAAAACAACAAATGAAAATAACTGTTAGTTACAACCATGGACTAGCAACATTGGTGGTCAACTTGCGTATTCTACCTAATGTCTCATTAAAATAGGACTATCATTATTGTAGTAATAAACTACCTCTATTCTTCTATCCAATGCTTGTCTTTGTTATTGATTACATAGTATTATGATCCTGTGCATAGATCTTTTCTAAACAAAAGAGTTTTGTAATATTTTATTTATTTCCTTTCCAAGTGGTTGAAAGACTTTTACACTATAATCCAATTATAGTATGATAAAATTGTTAACCTATGCAATAATTATTTTAATATATATATATATATATATATATATATATATTCTTTCAATTTATTAATAATGTAAAAAAAATGCACTAATTAAAAATGTATGAAAGTCTTAATAGGTAAATATTAACATCATAAATTTTAGTTGTTTTAAAATATGTTTTATTGTTGAATTATTGACAAGTGTACCAAAATTATCAATCGCAATATAGTATTTTGATTAAATAAAAGTCGATCCCACGAGGAACGGTTTCAATGAAAATTCCTAATTTTATGTAGGGATGACAAAACGAGCTAAGCGACCATAATATGGCGGGGCGGGTTGGTGTTTTCAACTCACTGACCGTTTTGGCCCGCCCGCTAAGCTCGCCAACCCGTCGGGCCAACCCGTGGGACGTGGCGGGCCGGCCCATGACCCGCCTAATTAATAAAAAAATATTTTTTTATTATAATAAAATTAATTATAAAGATAATATATAAGGTTAAAATTTTTAAAAAGAGAATTAAAAAAGTTTCATTCTCACGAGAAAATATTCTCCTTCATGAAATATAACCTTCTCTCCTGTTCTCCTTATTTATCCTAAGCACTCGATTATATTTATCCTTATTACTTGAATTAAAGGTATAAGAATTACTCAACCAAGAATAATATGAAGTTTTATCAAATAAAAAAGATATAGGTATTTGAATTTTTCAATATAAAAAATATAAATTTTATAAGTTTAACGTTATTTATATATATATATATATATATATATATATATTTGTTATTATTTATTATTATGTAAATTTTATTATTGTTCTAAATTATAATTTCTTAAAATAATGTATTGATTTATATTATTAAATTGAAATAATATATATATATATATATATTGAATTATTGACAAACAAATAATAATCTTATTATTAAATTTATTAAAAAAATTATTTTAAAAAAATTATTTTTTTCTAAATTATGGCGGGCCAAGGTCTACGACCAGTCATGACTATATCGAGTCAGCCCGCCACGCCCCGCTTTTGGCGGGCCAAAGGCGGGGCGGACCAAAACAGGGCGGGCTGACCCGTTTTGTCATCCCTAATTTTATGTTTACTAAGTAGATTAAAACAAAATGAGTTTTGCATAAAGAGTTGAATTGAAATTAAATGACAAAGAACTGTAAATTGTTGAGAAAATATCAATTAAAGGCACTTAGGATTGGTTTCCTTCTTTATCCCTCTTTTGTAATGACTATGTAAATTAAGAACGTCAATTAACCTAACAACGTTGATGTCACTTACTCAAATCATCCATGTTGATTCCTCACACAATTAAGAGATTTTCCAGCATTAGGTTTAGGGTATTAAGCAATTGATATATCCATTTCATTCCTGACAATTAACGTAACAAATATTCTTACTGTGATCTAGGGTTCAAGATATATTTTCCAATCATACCCCAAACATCAAGAATAAATCATTTCAAAGTACAAAGAATAAAAATAACAACATCAAAACATAGATTAAAATCTCAAAATATCACCATGATACAAAAAAGTTCAAAGGAAGTGCACTCAATCCCAAGAGAATGAAGTTAGTCACTCATGTTGGCCATTACAATGCTCCAAATGTGGAAGAAGTGAAGAATTGATGAATATTGGACAAAACTCTAGCAGTAGTCGCGCCTCTTCTCCCCAAAACCGCTTGTTTTTCTCAAAACACATCTTATCTTTTTATAAGAAAAATTGGGCTTTTGGGGTTTTGCGTCTTTCGCTCAAGCGGCAACTTTCAGTCAAGCGAAAGTTGCCTATTTTCGCTTAAGCGACAAAACACTTGCTTGAGCGAGTGAACTTCAGAGAAGAATAACTAACATTCGCTCAAGCGAATTTTCTTGTGCTTGAGCGACTGACTTCCAGAGATGAATAACTGATATTCGCTCAAGCGAGAGTCCATCCCGCTCGAGTGACTTCCATGCTGAAAATCTTCTTCCTTCTTCCAGTTTTACTTTAATTATGCTTCTTACTCTTGTATGAAGGTATTCTCAAATTCATCCTATATTGGGAGAAAAATAGATTATAATTAACATAAGTTAAGTGGTTTCATAACAATTCAAAGCATAATTATATCAACTTTTTACCACTTAACAACTCTCTCCAACCTAGAATCTTGCTTGTCCCAAGCAAAGTAATTTTTCCAAAACAAAATTATCACCTATTATCACTTTCTCTTCCAGAACCACAACATAAAATTAACTTTTCAGATGTGATGCTCACAACTCCAAATGAAAATAGAATACATAAGCATTCAAGTTACAGAAACTAACAAAGAATAATCAGTCCTCAACTATCCTCAGAAAAGCATGATCTCTCAAATCGAGTTATATATAATCATCTCTAATTCTCACAGGTAAGTGTTTATCTCATTTGATCACTTCATTTAGACAATCCAATATTGATAATCATTTTCAAGCAATCAACATTTGTTAAGCAAGACTCAAATCAAAAGGTCTTTTGCGACTTGTAATGGGGCTGAGCTAAGAAAGAATAATTGATTTTTCTGGGATATACAAAAGTATTTGAGAAATTCAACTCATATGAATGATTCCTGTTTAATATTTCCTCAAGTTGGGTTTCAAATTTCATGTTTTTGCTCCTAACACAATGATAGTGAGTTAATAATCTCACAAGTTATTATTCCCCCCTTTGAATTCTTTTTTTTTTCTGATTTGCATTTATCCTTTTTGGCTTTTCCATAAGATTTATGTTTTGCTTCTCCTTTTTCTTTATACATTTTTTAACACCCTAATAATACCCATAGGATAACAATAGCAATACCCAACAATAGGAAAAATAATAATATTCATACTCATTTCCTTTCTCAAATATAGGAAGGTAGATAAATAGTATTTAGGCTTAGAGGTTCTGTTTACGAAACAATATTGTTTTTGACTCAGAAGGGATTCAAATGGATGTCTTATAATTAATGCAGGGTTGATTTTTTTGTTTTGGGCTATATCTACTACAAAGAAAAATGTCTTTATCATTTTCAAGTCTCACTAACACGCAATCATATCAAAAAATTAATCAATACCAATTATCATCACAAAGTGTTGACACTCAATTTATCTGTTTTTTATTCTCTACTCACCTGAGTTTTGGCTAGCTTCTCCAATTCAGTTAATTCCTAATTCTCCTCATCAATTCCTTTTCACTATCATACTCATCATCTCAAAATCACTTATTATTGGAAACAATCAAAATGATTTTTCACGTTTCAGATTTGAATTAGACAATAAGCAATAATATCATATATGACTCTAAAACAAATTATAGGACAGCAAAGAAATTCAAAATTTAAAATAAAGTAATTAAAAACATTTAATTAAAAACAAAGGAATTAAAAACATTAAAAACAAATTTAGTTTCCTCCCTCATTTTCTTTACTTGTCGTCCTCTCCTTATCTTATACCTCAGCTTCAGCTGCAAACTTTCTCACCCCCTCCAGAAGGATTGTCCCCAGGCCATTGAAGTAAGACTTCAAAGTCTTGAGGAGAAGTTCACTGTGTACCTGGAGCAATCTTGCAAAGAAAGAACCTAAGGAAGAAAAATGCACAAAAAACTAAAATTGCAAAAAGAAAAAAAAATTCAAAACATTGTGTTGCCTTCCAGGAGCGCTTGTTTAACGTCTTCAACTTGACTCCTATTTGTTTTAGGGCTCATGCAGGTGAGTGATCAAAGTGATCTATACGCATTCTTCATCCCTTGACTGTCCTTGTGGGAATGAATTTATTCTTTTCATTGCGAATAACCTTAGGACTGTCAGAGATTGGATAAATCATACCTGCTTCAGGAGGTTTCATTACCTCTCTTTGAACAATT